TTTTGTCGAAAGATAAAATGCAACAGGGTGTGCATAGCAATGAACTAAACAATCACATATCACGAATGCTGCACATTATGTTAGCAGACACAACTTTCTTGAGGATACTTTTTATTGCCATGTTTGACTGCATCACATCACTTGGGGCACGCACCCCATAGCAACAACACAAATGCACTCTTGGTTACAAAAACCCTAAATTAGCTGCGATGTGCACATTTGTGAGGATGAGAAACATGAATATTATTTTATGTTATATAACTGAAAACTAATCAGTCAGTGTCTTCTTTTCAAACATACATGGTGCTACTGTTACCGTAATATTAACTTTTTACATGTATTTGATAAATTCCCTTTTGTGTATGAATGCTTTTTATACTTTGGTCTCACTTTAGATTTGATTTACTTGAACTTCTTTTAATAGTCTGCTTTACAACAAAGCCTTGTTTTCACTAGCAATTCTTCCTCAAATGTTATTTAAGTTAAGTCTGATTAAATGTATGTTATTTGAAAATAGGAAAAGAGACTGAAAGATCTGGAACACGGCTGGGAATATGCCCCTTTATTCACAATGAAGTTTCACACCAAGGAGAGACGAATGGATTTAGTTCGACGTAGACGATGGCATCGCAAAATGATTGCTGAGGGTGCCAATGCTTCTGCTGTCTTCTCTATGGATAAGAAAGAGGTAAGGCGAATCAGGTTAAAATTTGTAACAATCATATCCAGATATTGGCCTACTGCACCAAAAAATTACTTGATCTCTTGCCAGTACGGTGATCTATAGAATAGTAGAATTGATCTATAGAATAGTAGAATTGATCTATAGTATAGTAGAATTGATCTATAGAATAGTAGAATTGATCTATAGAATAGTAGAATTGATCTATAGAATAGTAGAATTGATCTATAGAATAGTAGAATTGATCTATAGAATAGTAGAATTGATCTATAGAATAGTAGAATCGATCTATAGAATAGTAGAATCGATCTATAGAATAGTAGAATCGATCTATAGAATAGTAGAATTGATCTATAGAATAGTATTAAATAATTCCAATTTTTTTTTCTCAGAAAAAAAGTGATACAGAAGGAAGTGTGATGGCTTCTCCAAGGATCTTTCTGACATTTAATGGTATACAAAACTGTTAATAGTACAGTAATTCTGATTGGTTTATATTGTTGTTTTTCTGAACTTCATGATATTGTAACCAATCATTGATAGTTTAATTAATGTTCCTTTTTTTCCAGCTCCACATTCGTATCAACTTCGTGCTTATATTTATCAAGGAAGAGGTCTTGTTGCCTTGGATTCTGATAGCTTTTCAGGTAATCTAAATATCAAATATGATTTCTGAAAAAATAATATAATTGATGTTTGGTACCACAGTCAGCTGGATATTTACTATATGGGGGCCCCCATCTTGAATGCTGCATAAAACTAAATAAGAGACAAGTTGTGAAACAAGGTTTTCAGATTCCTACAAATCAGGACAAAAAGTACCAATTTTTCACAAAAATAGGTTTCGTTGGGGTTATATTAAGCTAACCAATAACAAAATTTGACCGAATTCGGCGTTTTTGTGTGACAAAAATCCCTTGCATACGAACACCTAATTACACAAATAACCTAGAACACAGGTTATCGCTGATTGGCTGCTGAGCTGGAATGACAAATTTTGGTTTCAAATACCCCAGGAAAGTGTTCTATGTTCTTTGTGTAATTAGGTGTTCGTATTTAAGAGATTTTTCATCACAAAAATGCTGAATTCGGTCAAATTTTGTTATCGGCTGGCTTAATATAACCCAACAGATCGTATTTTTGTGAAAGATTGGCATTTTTGTCCTGATTTGTAGGAACCTGAAAAA